TTTAACTTGTTGTCTTTCTAGCTGAATAACGAAAGGGTTTTTCAGTGATTCTTACGGCAAATGCTGTCAAAATGGCTAAATGTCTTATCTGAAAACCTGGAAGAAAAAAAAATCAATTAGTTTAGTGTTTTAGTTTGTGGGCGGATAATTTTGCTGTTACACAATTTAAACTATTTTGATGTTACACACACACACACACGCGCATACACACACAAACTCACACACACACACACATATATATATATATATATATATATATATATATATATAGATTTTTATCGATTTTTAGAACATAGATCAGTAGCTCAGTCGACGCTGTATAGATGTTATCTTTATTATCGAAATGTATTTCCATTGTTATTTTGTAGAATCGATTATGTACGACCCACCAGCACCACTACTACTACTACTACTACTACACATAGACACTCACACGCACTCATTTTCTCTTTATTTTGCACACACATATGTACATATGCTTCTATGAGAGAGCTTGCCTGAGACGTTATTCATACATATATTTATACCATTCAGAACAATTACCGTCGGACAGATTCTTTCTATGTATTTCGTTGGACTTCTATTGAAGCTATTTCCATACAAAACTCCCTGATCAAAATCGGCAGTTTCTTTTCACGTGCTCTCGTTTCAGGTTTGTTTGTTTTGTTTTTTTTGTGTTTTTTTGTACGTTTGAAGTATTTTACCTACTGCGTTCCTGGCGGCCGCTTCTATAGCCCCTACTTCAAACCCTTCTCCGCCCGCTTCTCGACCGGGAAATGTTCGATGACATTCTGCTGCCTTTGACTAATAAAGAAGAATTTGATAATAAGATTCGACAATCGCTTCTGGCGTGAGACATCGAGTCTAGACTGATATCTTAAGACGAAGTAAACACTGGTCTTCAGCCCGATCATACCCCACAACCACCAACACCCCGTGCTACACAGCATCCAAGTATGCACCAATCCAAACAGAATGCATGAATAATAAATTGATGCAGACGGGTTTAGAAGCATTTTAGTTACGAAACAAAAGTTCTCTTTGCCAAAAGATTCCGCGGCAAAATAAAGAGAGAATTACAGAGTATAAATATTACTTTATCTATCTTGCTAGTAGCTACCTAGCTAACCCTTTCACAACCATTTAACTTTTTGGTACAACGCTCAACTGAAAAAAATATCATATATATATATATATATATATATATATATATAAAGAAAGAACAGTAAGATATATAATGCAGTGTTCTTATAGATATTTTTATTTTTACAAAATAGTGCTCAATGTAAATTTACAGAGCATTAATATTATAAATTAATTGATTTAAAATTTGAGGATGAAATGGAATTAATGTCTTTAATTTAATTACAAAATTAAATTCGGGGCTTTTAGCTTCCATTTTTGAAACATGGTTAGAACTGTGTAGCGGAAAAAAAAATATTTTAAATCAATTAATTTATAATATATATATGTAGATAGATAATCAACACTGATATATATATATATATATATATATATATATATATATATATATATATAAGGGGAACCGGTTATAGTAGTTCCAACGAGAGAAAAGTGTGTATATTAAAAAGAAGAGAGAAACCGCAAACGTTTTTGGTTGTAATGTAGATTTTTTTTTCAGTTATTATCCTTTTTTTTTCCCATAATTTTGCTACACTGGTTTCCGGTCTCGCGACCTTCATCAGGCAAAGCGTGTAGATTTCCACATACTATTAAAAAATAATTAATTTTTTTCTTATGTTTTTCGATGTTAAATATTCCCGATATGAGACAAAAAATAATCACCAGTCGAAGTGCAATTTAAATGCACTGAAACGAAGTTGCATCTTTGTAGTGAGTAAAATGTTTTTGTCTATATGAAAAAAATATAATATTATATATATATATAGATATAGATAGATAGATAGATAGTGTGTGTGTGTGTGTGTGTGCGTGTGTGTGTGTGTGTGTGTGTGTGATATTTCACTGTGAATTATGGTAGTGTCAGGAAAACAGTATTTGATATAAAACAACAGAAATAAAATTGATCTTAAGAGTTTCAAGCAAATGGCAAAAGAAGTTTTCAATTTGTATCTGATGATTGTCACGTGCATGAAGCCCAGAGTTGCATCAGACGGTAATGAAGACACACACACACCCACACAAACATGTAAGTTATATTAAATATTTTAATAAAAATATATTTAAAATTATTCCTATCTCTAACTTCATTCTCAAATTTCGACCATATCTGTCGTTCTCATCTTCCCACTTTCTCTATCACCTTATCAATTTAAAACTATCCCTCAAAAGTGTTTAAAAATAATACGTAAATTTAAAATCATTTTTATGCTTGAAATGTGATCTGAAAAACCAGGAAAAATACCTTTCTGGGGTAATAAAACATAATTAATGAACCCTAATAAATTAATGATAATAATTAATGATTGTCTTTTTTTTTTTTACTTAAATTAAATTCATTCATATATATATATATATATATATATATATATATATATATATATATATATATATATATATACAGGGTGTATAGTGACTAGATATTAGAAATTGCTTATAGAATTTTTAGTATCACTTAAGTCATGATGACGAAAACATTTTAAACAAAAAAATTAATAGGGATTTCTTATTCATGTCCAGGAGCTAAAACCAGAAGACTGTAACCACAGAATGGAATATCGAGAGTTAATTCTTGGTTCGGCATGAAGATTGACCAGAATTGTTTGAAAACATCTTCTGGGGTGACGAGGCTTTATTCCATGTTGGCGGATTCATCAATCGTCACAACTGCCATTACAGAGCGTCGTGTGATAACGATCCGAACATGACAATTGAGACAACGCAAGCTCGACCAAAAGCGACCGTGGGGTGCGGAATGACGGTACCAAGAATCATCGGGCCATATCTTCTGAGTGACACCGTGAATACGGACCGCTATCTTCAGATGCTCGAAAATTACGTATGGCCCACGCTCGCTGGGATCTGATGGGCCGCCCCTACATTTTGCGTGCGGGTTTAGACCAACATTTTCCAGGAAGATGGATACAACGTCGCGGACATCATGAATGGCCTCCATGTGATTTTTATCCGTGGGATTACACAAATGAGGTGTACAAGACTTGACCTTGCACACTGGATGACTTAGAGACACGGATCCAAGAGGTTCTCCGTGATATCCCAGACGACGACCTTAAGAAGGTCGTTCATCCCATTCTTGGGCGTTTGAGGAAACTGGTAGACGCCAACTGAAAATAGACATGGCACGTGGAACTAGAACAGCCTTCTCTATCTATCTATCTATCTATCTATCTATATATATATATATATATATATATATATATATTTGGTTGGACTGATGTGAGTTTGTGACCCTAGGTTTCACGCTTTTGCGATCGTCATTTCTAATAGGTACCACGCATATAATATATAAATAATTATATATATATATATTTATTTATATTCACACACACACACACACACACACACACACACACACACACACACACACACACACACACACATATATACTTCTTAGTGTTAAGATCAGTCTGTCGTACATTCCAATACGACAGTGTGGTTATCAGTGTAACTCAACATTCAATGCAACATACCATAAATTATTTGGGATAATTCATACATGGATGTTTTACTCATTTTACTTCCGTAACATATCCACGCTGCACCTCCATTCTCCAAACCTACAACCGGACAGCGCAAAATTTGTCGAATTTTTTTCATTCTTGATAATGGCTTAACCTAGTCAATAAGGTAACGAAGACACATTGGGGGAAATTCCTTTACACAATCAACACCAACAGACAGTTATTAATACACCAACAAGAAAATCTCATTAAAAAATAGATTTCCCATAACTAGTCCGTAATCATAAAAAAGTACTCGAAATATATATATAGGAATATGTTTGTGTGTCCGTGTGTGTATTTTTATGTGTTATAGTCGAGCACATGTCTGTTTTGTTTGTTTCATTTTACATTATCACGCTTCCTTCCACAGAGATTAGTGTAATTTTTTTTTATTCTGAAAGACGTATGCTCCACTGTGGTGTTGGACATGTGTATGCATCAACGAACCTTCTCAAATAAAGAACAATATCGCAATGAAAATAAATTTTCTACGTAAAAACAAAGCTAATTTAGAATGCAACCAATTTCCTTTACCCAATGAGAACAAACTGAAAGAACATTGCGAATGACACTGCAAAGATTTTTGCAAATTAGTTACTGTCTTAATTTAACGTCTACAGATGTAATGACACAAGTGTCGACATTTTTTGTAATCATTTCATCCCAAGCAAGGCGACAATGCCACGAAGAAGCAACGGGTTATTGCGAGTGGACAAGAATGAGAAGACTAATAAAAACGGCTCGTCTATTTCCACATAATAAGTGTCCACTTCAATAATTTTTTAATAAAAATGTCGGATTAAAATAAATAAAAAATCATTTTATATATATATATATATTTATATCTGATATATATATATATATATATATATATATATATATATATATATATATATATATATATACACATTTTATATATATATATATATATATATATATGTATGTATACAAACACACACACATACACACACACAAGTTTGATTAAAAAATCCGACAAGGTCTGTCTTTTTAATTTTCTATTATATTTTCCAGTTTTCTAAGGTGTTGAGTATTTTGGTCAAATTTGTGGATAATCTGACCGAAGTTTATATATTTTTTTTATTTTGTTCAAGTATTTTCGACTTTCGCAGTTATTATCAAGAACATCTATGCGGTGATTAGAATTCCTTAGTCTGAATCCTGACATTACTTGGAAAGTTGGACTTCTGAAATAATCTAGCGTGTCGTCATATGTAACGGCTATTGGGAATGACGCCGCTCAAAAAGACGTTGATAATGACAGTGAAATTCACATTCTGTCAATATATATTTCTAAAGGTTCATATTCCTCAGAATATGGACATATTTCTCCTTAATTCTGTTCTTATCAGCTCGTGTATGTATATCAGTTTTTTTTTCAGACAATGATATCGCTTTGTTTGTTTTTACTTTAATCCATTGCATTCACTTACGAGGTAATACCCTTGGGAAAGGTATGAATCCTCTTCTTCTCTTCTTGGATGGGAACTGGTCTACCGCAGAAAGAAATGGCAACCTACTGCAAGGAAAAAAAAATCTGCCCCGTCAGTCATCTATCGAAAGGTACATGATCGTCTAAGCGTGTATCATGCATGGCACATAAAAGAATGACTGAATGTGGACACTATGCAAGGCTTAATAGCCAATCAAAGTAGAGAGTTAAGAATGGTAAAAGTAAGAAGTACTGTTTATGAGAATATAAGGGAAAAATAACGGTTACCCTTTAAACTTGACGAAATTAATATTGTCGTGGTTTGAAGTATGTCCTCGTAGGAGTCGATTACACAAAATAACGTTTCGACTATCTATCTATCTATCTATCTATCTATGCCAGTCTGTTTATATCTATCTATCTATCAATCTATCTATCTATCTATCTATGCCAATCTGTTTGTTTATATCTATCTATCTATCTATCTATCTATCTATCTATCTATCTATCCCAGTCTGTTCATATTCATCTATCTATCTATCTATCTATCTATCTATCTATCTATCTATCTATCTATCTATGCCAGTCTGTTTATATCTATCTATCTATCTATCTATCTCTATCTATCTATCTATCTATCTATGCCAGTCTGTTTATATCTATCTATCTATCTATCTATCTATCTATCTATCTATCTATCTATCTATCTATCCCAGTCTGTTCATATCTATCTATCTAGCTATCTAGCTAGCTAGCTATCTATCTATCTATGCCAGTCTGTTTATATCTCTATCTATCTATCTATCTATCTATCTATCTATCTATCTATCTATCTATCTATCCCAGTCTGTTCACATCTATCTATCTATCTATCTATCTATCCCAGTCTGTTTATATCTATCTATCTATCTATCTATCTATCTATCTATCTATCTATCTATCTATCTTCTATCTATCTATCTATCTATGCCAGTCTCTTTATATATCTATCTATCTATCTATCTATCAGTCTATCTATATCCAGTCTCTTTATATCTATCTATCTATCTATCTATCTATCTATCTATCTATCTATCTATCTATCTATCTATCTATCTCAATCTGTTCATATCTATCTAGATAGCTATCTAGCTATATAAGTCTGTTCACATCTATCTATCTATCTATGTATCTAAATCAGTTCATATGTATCGCCCTCAGTTTGTTCATATCTATCTTTATGTCCATATGCGAGGGTGGGCTGAAGATCTCATAGGCTGATTAGGAGGAATGATGCTACATCTGTGAAATATTACATGTATTATTTGCGACTCTTTTTATTAATAACTCCATTTTTCCAGGTAAACTGACATTAGACTGTTCAAAGAAGACTTCAAAGCTAACTTGTAGCGCCTTCATTTGAAAATGACAAAAAATTTGGCATCGTGATGATATCAAGTACTTACCGAAAAAAGGTCTAGACCCCAAGGACAATCCTGCTGACATGGTTGCTACATTATGAAAAGACGCTCCAGATTTATCAACAATTCAAAAGTGGGCAGCTGAATTTACGAGGGGAAGGGAGAGACTTGAAGATAACCCAATGTCTGGATGTCCTGCAACTGTCAACACCAAGGAAATCACTGATCGTGTTCGCCACTTCAATAAAGTTTGAATAAAATGCCAGATTAAAATAGATAAAACATTTTCTTTTTATATATATATATATATATATATATATATATATATATATATATATATATATATATATATTGTTGTAGCCTTATTAGGGCCAGAAATAAAGACACAAAGAGAGGAATCGATTTAAACAAATATATTAACAGTAACAGTAATACAAACTTATACAAACGAGAGTGTTACAGCAAGAATGTTCGGTCCGACTGTCAGATCTGACTGCTTGAAATTCTACAAAAGGAAGGACCTGCTCCTATTTATAACTGGAAGAGTTCATGCGTGCGTGGGTAAATTACCATACCCCCTCTTAATTATTCTTAAGGAGTATAACATTATTAACATGGCCAGCGCACGTATTACGGTGTATGCAAAGCCAATGCTATTAGCATATCCCGTGAGAGAATTGAGAATACTCTGAACAATGAACTTTGCATGAAGCTTATTGCTCGGTGGGTGCCACATTTTCTGACACCTGATCTAAAGCGTACCAGCCTGATCATATCACGGGCTAATCTGACATTGTTTGAGGTAAATCCAGCTGGATTCCTTGAACGTTTCCGAACTCAGGTTGAGAGTTGAATCCTGACCAGCTCCAAAGGTCATTTCCTCAATAGAGAAGATGACGGCCTCGGTTCTTTGAGATGCGAAAAACATAATGTTTCTTGAGAAACATCATCAATGGAAATTGCTATGCAAAATGCTGAGGACGATACAAAAGGCTACCAAATACCCAGGAGAAGTTACGGAAGGTGTCTTGTTTCATCAGGACAATGCTCCAGCATATATCCTTGGTTTCAATGTCTGATGTGCGTGATTAGTGTCCAGTTTTGCAGTGATGATGACGTCACATGTGTTGTTAATTACCTTTCGAGCAACAGGATGAACAGTCTTCTTTGAATAGTCGGGTGTCAGTTTACCCGGGTTTGGTTTGATTTGTTTTGTTTTACGGTATATCAAGCAAAATGAGTTATTTAATGCCGACCAAATTTTTATTGCCGGTTTGGTTTGTTTTGTTTTACGGCATAATAACCTCAATGGGTTATTTAATGCCGACCAGATTTTTATTGCTGGTTTGGTTTGTTTTACGGCATATCAACATCAATGGGTTATTTAATGCCGACCAAATTTTTATTGCCGGTTTGGTTTGGTTTGTTTTACGGCATAATAACCTCAATGGGTTATTTAACGCCGACCAGATTTTTATTGCTGGTTTGGTTTGTTTTACGGCATATCAACATCAATGGGTTATTTAATGCCGACCAAATTTTTATTGCCGGTTTGGTTTGGTTTGTTTTACGGCATAATAACCCCAATGGGTTATTTAATGCCGACCAGATTTTTATTGCTGGTTTGGTTTGTTTTGTTTTACGGCATATCAACATCAATGGCTTATTTAATGCCGACCAATTTTTTATTGCAGGTTTGTTTTTTTGTTTTTTTTACGGCATGTCAACCAAAATGGGTTATTTAATGCCGACAAAATTTCCTTCTTTTTTTTTCAAAAATATATAGCTGGTAATTTTTTCAGAAATGTATAGCTGGTAATTTTTAAAGAAAAAATGTATACTTTGGTTTGTTTTGTTTTGTGTCATATTAACCTCAATGGATCATTTAATGCTGACCAGATTTTTATTGCTAGTAATATTTTCTTTTTTCAAATATTTATTTTTGATACTAATTTTTTTTTTAAGTATTTCTGGTATTAAAATCTAGTTTTACACTTTCATAGTGTTTTGAGTCAGGTTGTGGAGTTAAAAGTTTTCCCATAGCTGGGACCCTAACAGATGCTACCACCCCGGGTCAGGGTGGACCTGGGAACACCAGCAATTAAGAGGTGGTTCCATGCTTCCTCAAAACCTCCTGATCAGAGGCCTTGCTGCTGGACGTAGTTTATCGTCATACCCAGGACGCTTAGTTTACCTAAGATGAAACAATACAGTTGTTAATAAAAACGAGTTGAAATGAATGCAGGCATGACTTCACGGTTCAAGTATCACTCTTTCATAGTCATATGAATTATTTTTAATAATATTCTGCCATATTATACAATATATCTGGAAGGTGAAAACCCTGAGTATACAGGAAGAAAACATATAAATATCAATCTATGAATCTTTGCAATAACGAAAATAAATAAAATACAAGCACGGGATTAATTGTTTGTTCAAAAACTCAGAATTAAAATGTATTGTCAGAATCATTCTCAAAGATATCAAATTTCAAACGTATTTGGACCAAAAGAGAATTTGAGGAGGAAAAAAAAGTGCCCATTATCTCAAATTTGTTCTGAGTTCGGCTTTGCATCGAAAAATTTGTTTCTTTTCGGACACTCCCACGTTAACTGTTTTGCGCCAATATGAGTATTGTTAAATAAAAAAATAATAAAAAAACGGTAAAAAATAATAAGCCGAAACATTTCAATTGGTAAACTCAGCCATCCATAAAGAGAGGTGAAAAGTTTCCTTGGCAACAAATCTTATTCGCTGCTCCAAGAATATAACTCTCTCGACATTATTAACATGGGAAGAGCACGTATTACGATGTATGCAAGTGTGTGCCTGTGTATCAGTGTGTTCATTCACTCACACACACGTACACACGTGTATATATATATATATATATATATATATATATATATATATATATATACATACATACGTACACACATATATATATATATATATATATACGCATACATACGTACATACATGTACATATACATACATACACACACACACACATATATATACGTAGTTACACACGCAGAAACACACACACACATACACATACACACACACACACACACACACACACATATATATATATATATATTAAAAGAATTATTTTGTCGTTCCTTACCATGTGATGATACTCAAAGCGTAGCAATTATGAAGGATACATTTGAAATTTTCTTAACACTCCTTTATTTACAGGACGTACAATTGCAAGTCATGCCGCTTGTAGCAAAAGGGTGTATTATTATTATTATTATTATTATTATTATTTTTATTATTATTATTATTATTATTATTTTCTTTGATTTCTGGCGTTTACATATTTCTTTCCGGGTCCCGCCCAGGGACCTAAGGTTAGAAATGGCATCATGACACTATCCACTGACAAACAAAAAAAAAAAAAAAAAAATTACATAGATAAAGCCCTTCGTAAGGTGTGGGCTGTACTTGTCAGAACAATTTTTTGTATCTCCTTGAGGTATGGACTTCCAGGAATCTCTTCAATTAGTCTATTGCAATCTTTTCCAACCAGTCCTAGGGCTCCAACTACAACAGGGATTATTGATGTTCCCATATGCCACATTTTCGAGATTTCTCTTTCAAGGTCCTTATATTTTGACAGCTTTTTGAATATCTTCAAAGATACATTGCAGTCAGCAGGGACTGCCATATCAATAAGGAGGCACCGTTTTTGTTGTGGTCTTTAATAACAATATCTGGGCGGTTGGCTTTGATTGTTCTGCCAGTGTGTATTGTGTAGTCCCATAGTAACAGGTCCTATCTCCGTAACCGGGTCTGGGTGGTGTTCATGCAAGTTTCTTTCAGTTTCCTTCCCGTAGAAGTTGCAGATTTTCCAGTGCAGATATTAGCCCACTCTGTCATGTCGGGTCTTATATTCAGTGGGTGCCAACATCGTGCAACCTGATACAAGATGATCAATCGTTTCTGGATTTTGGGCTGACACAATATTTTAGTATATGTGCTTGATAATTCCTAGTTAGCAAGCATTGGTCCTCTGCAGCAAGGATAAATTATTATTATTATTATTATTATTATTATTATTATTATTTCCTTAGATTTCTGTTGAATACATTTTCCTTCCCGGTCCCAGCCAAAGACATAAGGTCAGAAATAGCTTCATGGCATTTTTCACTTGTTGTTTTCTAAAAAACAAAACGAAACAAAACAAAAAACAAAACAAGATCACAGACATTTCACATAGATAAACCTCTTCGTAATATATGTGCTGTACTTGTGAGTAAAATGTTTTGTATTTCTTTAAGGAATTCCTTCAATGAGTCTTTTTCCAATCAATCCGAATGCTCCAACTCTAACTGGAAAGACTGACGTTCACATGTGGCACATTTTTTACATTTCCACTTCAGTATATTTGTATTTTTATAGTTTATTTTTGAAGATCTTCAAATATATATTATTTTTGAAGATCTTCAAATATAAATTATTTTTGAAGATCTTCAAATATATATTATAATCTGCGGGGACTGCCATGTCATTAAGAAAGCACATTTTGTTGTTGTGAACTTAGAGTTATTATTATTATTATTATTATTATTATTATTAGTAGTAGTAGTAGTAGTAGTAGTAGTAGTAGTAGTAGTAGTAGTATTAGTATTTCTTTTGGGCTTGTCGATTGCTAATCCTTTATCAAGTTTAAAATCTGAGACGTAATGAAAGTGTATGTTAGTAGTCAGTTATTAGTTATTGTAAACTGTTTTACTAAGTATGTATTACTAATTAACGTAGTCATTTGTAGTTCAAATAAAGATGGATTTCCTGGTAAGTATTATTAGTAGTAGTAATACTAG